GCCATGGCCTCAGGTGTCTCCCAAGCCAAGGAACACCAACTTTTAGAGCACAGACCTTCTCCTCTGTTGCTCCTACAGTGAATGGCAGGACCGACCATCCTGCCCTCACTGGCCCCGAGTGACGGCTAGTTGCTACACACACGGTGCTGTCGATATCTGTATGCTGTGAAGGCGTTGACTGGAAATCTTCTAGTTACAACATGGAGCTTTTGCAGTCCATAGGAAGAGTAGGCATTCCATCAGCCCTACTGTTAGGGATAGAAAGAATAGTCAGTCCAGCCTCTCTTTTCTCCCTCCTTGTTCTCAAACATCTGCATGTGGAAACAATCAGGGTCAGGAGCACCAAGCTCCGAAAACAAGGGAACTGGCTGCAGGCAGGAGTGAGTCACAGTTTGAGGAAGCTGAGAGCTGGGCCCTTTGGGGCTCACACACAGCTCAGATGGGCCGGGTCTTCAACTGGCAGGTAACAGTGAAATTCAGTCTAGCCTAGCAGGCCTCATGGTGTCTGATAAGATGTAACTCCTGCATCCAATTTCCATATGGTGAGATGCTCCATCCTGGAAGTTAACACATGAGGGTCATGTGACTCATAGGATGAAATTTACCCTGACCCTTTGACCCTAAAAGTTGATCATAGTCTATGTGTTGGGTAGATAAGAATCAGGACTGCTATCTTTTGAATGATTGACCACCTCATAAGCCACCTGACCATCCTCTCTCCAACCCTGAGAATAAAAAGGCTCAGAATTGCTTAGACGTCCTACACTATCATAAATGACCCTCAAAGTAGCCCTTGGAAGCAGATTCAAGACAGAATTTCACTGTGAAGCTCTGACTGTCCTGGGACTCACTCTGTAGACCAGGCTGGCCTCGAACTCTGAGAGCCACCTACCTCTGCTTCCCAAGTGCTGGGATTAAAAGCATGCACCAACACCATGCAGCTCAAGAATGATTTTATAATGAAGAAACTGAGACTCAGAGAGATCAATTCACTTGGTCAAAGACACACAGCCAAGTAACAGAGAGCAGGGACTGAGATGTTGGTCATCACTCACTCTGGCTCCCATCTCCCCCCTCCCTGTAGTATAGAACAGAAGGCAGGAACTCCGTCTCAGGAAGCATAGTGCCTGGGTCCAACCCGGTTCTTTTGGCGGTCTATATTAGGTCTCAGTTTCCCTGTCTGCAAAATGAGGCTTTCATACAATCCTCTTTGTGGGCATGGTTTTAGGATTACATTCGTTCAGCTACAGTCTACACTATGAAGCGGGAGCTGGATGAGGTCAGTCATTTTCCCATGGTCACTCCTCCCAGATGGCCACCCCTCTCCTTGCTCAGAAGCCAGTTTGGATCTGAGATCACCACGTGGTACCGTCAGCCAAGACCAAGGTCATCCCGCAGGGGGGAAAGCTACATAGAGTACAGAGGTCTAGGGTCAAGCATGGGTCATTCTGAGGTTAGAGAATGGACAGCTATCCTGGGCCCATCCATAATCACATGCAACAGTGAGATACACAAAGGCTAGATGGCCAGGTGGCCCTGTCCTTCCTCACTCAAGGATGCTTTCCTAGTTTCTGAAGTCAGCTCTCCAACAGGCCCGGGTACTGTGACGCCTCGAAGTGACTGGTGGGTTGTTCTGTAAACCTGCAGAGGAATCAGGATGGAGGTTGCAACCTCTGGTGAAGAAGGCGGACATACTCCTCCCTACCCTGTGGTCACCTTCCTTCCTGCAGCAGGAGGGTGGGGGCTCTCCTTTGTTCTTGAGGCCAACCCCCTCCATGATGCAAGTGGCTCTACCCTTGGCTTCTCTCTGCTGATCCCCTCCCCCCCTCCCCCGCCCCGTTTACCCTTCCGCCGGGATGGTCCCTCATTCGTTGAACGTACCCATTCCACAGCATTGAGGGATCTGTGAGGGAGAACAACAAGCATATTCTGTGAGATGTTCTCTTTGTGGGCAGGCTTCTATCGACATAAAGGTTTTAAGGACAGTTCTGACATTGTTAATGTTCAGAGGGTTCGATTTCCAATCTTTTCCATCTTCTCTAGTCCTGGCTACCCACTCAGCTATATCAATCACCTCTTCCCTTTTCTTGAGCCCCTCCCCACTCCCTCCCTGCCCTGTTGTCTGGGAGAGTCTGTAGTTTACCCCATACATGTTTCGAATATCCTACCTCGGAAGAATCCCTGTGCTTAGGAACTGAAACCAAACCCTGGATATCATCCTGAGCCTGAGAAGTGAAGCTTCCACACCTTGGATTTGTTTTCTAATCCTCAAAGTGCACACATTAGCAGGGCCCAGTAGAAGACCAGGGTTCAGCAAGTGTGGGTAAAGCATCACTGTGAGGAACCCCCACACCTCGAAGAAAGTCCTTGCCAGGCACACTGGCACAC